CTCTACGTAAAAAACGATGAGAAGAAAAAAGGAAGAAAGGAAGGAAGGAAGGAAGAAAGGAAGGAAGGAAGGAAGGAAGGAAGGAAGGAAGGAAAGAAGGAAGAGTCTCGATGGGGACAAAAGGGATAGATTTAATACGACAAAAAGAGCTCGTTGGACCGTAATTCTTTCATCCCACAAATCAATGGACTCCGATTACGTCGGTCTAGGAGTTTCGTATGAAAAAAGAAAAGGAAAGAAAAGGAAAGAAAAAACAAAAAAAAAAAAAATGAAAATCGAAAGAACTTCCGAAGGTCTTGGATGCTTAAAGTAAAAGGAAAGGAAAAAAGAAAAGAAAGATAGTTCGAGGGACATTAATTCCTAAGCTTTATGCGGTTCTTATTAGAATCTCACTCTTTCTCGTTTTTTCTTTCTTTTTTCTTTTTTTTTTTTTTTTTTTTTTTTTTCTTTGATGCTAAAGAATCGAGCGAAAGGGCGCCAGCTGCCACAAAAAATATGACTCTATTTTTCCTTTCTTCCAAGATTTTATTTGCACGTGCGCGAAAGACCTTTACCGGATTTAGCGAACGGCGAATAGTTTTCAGTTTGTAAGTTCCACCGTATCCCATGATCATCCTCTTTCTTTTCTATTTTTTTTTTCTTTTATTTTATTTATTTATTTATTTATCTTTGTTTTGTTTTTATTTATATACTTATAAATATACGTATATATAGGGCTTATTGTCGTTACCCTTTTTTTTTTTTTTTTTTTTTTTTATCGTCATACATTTCTATACTTTTTAAACAATGTAATGACAATAAACCTGAAATTACAAGGCACGATCCTAGGATCAACAAATATTTATTCTGCTTCTCTCTTTCCTTACTTTTCTTAACGTTCTAAAGCTTTCCTAGAAGTTTAATAGATAACGTTCTCATCTCGTTACTGTATGCTCTTGCGTTTACGTATAAAGCTCGTTTAAAATTCATATACGTAGATACATATATATATATATATATATACACATTTACGTACTTCAGTAAATACAGGCTCCCTTCTTGCCTTGCTATTCTGTAATTCCTTTCCGCCACATTCTCAGCATAAATATGTTGAAATAGAATAGTTACAATGTAATTAAACGTATTAACGTAGTTTTTATGTCACTACGCTCATTAATACGATATATTCATAAGAATAATATTTAATTACGAAATGGTAGAAATATTTTATTTTTGTATACATTTTCTCGTATACGTACGTATATATACGTATATATTCATTCAAATCGGATTACCGAACAATATCGATGACTACGAGCACGTAATATATAGATATTGGATCAAATCTCTTTAACTCGATTTCCTATGGATTTTTATTCATCCATATGCAAGGTTGCTGAGATGTTCCTAATCAATCAAGCGAATAAGCCATATGAAAATCCGGTCCATTATTTTTAGAAAAATCGAGCATTTCTATACGATGAAATTTAATTCAAAACGGTCCCTCCTCTTTGAATAGCGTGCCTCCAAGCATCAGAACTGAAAAGTTCGCGTGCACTATAAATTTGGCTGCTGCAAGGATCCTCACATTTATTCGAACAATAGCCACGAGAATCAGCATGCAAGCTACGAGTGAATTGTACGAAAAAATGCGACTCAGACACGGACGAATAATAACGTAGAGTGAATAATGACTTGAGTCCGGTATTACGAAGCAACCAGGCTAACTCCACTCCGCGTACTTCGGACACAAACGCAAACGCGTAATTATCAACGTCCGCAAAGAAAATTCTACGTACGGCTACTTCGGCGTACAAATGAGAAAGAGAAATAATAGAAACGAGAAATATAAAAAATATCGCACAAAGTCACATACTCGAATTAATGTTAATTTTTTGATAGGTCATCTCATCGTTAATCTTATTCCCTCTTGAATAAATTGAACGAGTATATGGGGAAAAAAAAGAAAAAAAAAAAAAATACAATATTATTCACAGTATGAATTAGTATGAATTCCAATAATCGAGAATCAAATTTCAGATTAATGAAAAATAAATAATATTGTATATAGAAAGAAGAAGGAGAGAAAGAAATAGTTTTTGTAAATTTTAATTATTTTAATTATTTTTCCATAGACTTCAATGGCATTCAAGCTCGAAGACTATTTGATCTTTCGAAAAATAGATTCAGAATTATGTGAGCGAACGAAAGTGCGGTATACTCGAATCGCGTAATAAAATGAACATAGAAGATTATTTACGCTGAATGCACTTACATTCAATAAAGCACACGTATTGGACGACATCATCGTACCGGGAATCCAATATGTTCTCTTATATTGAATACAGGTACATTGGGCGCGAATAAAAATACTGCAAGTTATGACGATTCTGCCCTCTATTTTTCTGTCTCGTTCTATCTCTTGCTTTCTTCCGTTCCATTTTTTACATCTTTTGTTTCTTTTCTACTTTTACCTTTGGATTTGGTTCGAGAAAAGTTTATATTCCTTGGATATTCGTTCGAGTGTAGTAATAAAACGCAATAAAAGCTCGTTCGTACTATACAAATCGCAAATCTTCTTATTGTAAATTTTTTCGATATGAATTTAAAAGTCTGATTCATAATCGAAGAAAAAAAAAAAAAAGAAAAAAATTATCAACGATAAGCGTTATATAAAGAAATTTTTCAAATAATTACACAATATTAAGAAAATATTAATAGAACAATTTGATTCAATAGATTTGCTAATATACGTGAATTTACATTTCGCAAGGATAAACTAATCCTCGCCCTCACTTTTTATAGATCTATCCTCCTATACGATTTCGTTTAATATTACGCATTAAGAATCTCGATTATCGTATGAAGAATGTATCACCGTCAGAAAAGTAAGAAAAAGAAGAAGAAAAAAAAAAAAAGTTAACGCGGATACGATAAATACACCGGAGAAAAGAACGGATTTCTTTCAACCACATCGCATTACTTTCGTACGAGTACTGCGCTGGAAAGCTCGAAACAGTTACTCCACCGTAGATTTTTCTCCCTTCTTTTTCTCCTCCCTACCCTATCTCATTTTTCAACAAATCTGTCGGGCATAGTTTCATCCAGCGAAACGTATTAATTTAACAAACGAGCACACTTCGCGATTGCTAAAGTTCTATGCTCCGTTTAAGCGGTGCCTTCGATCACCAGCTGCTGGCCAACACGACGTTACTCTGCGTGGTACAATCGTACGTGAAAGAAAAGATAGCATTCCTCCAAAACAAATCCGTTTTCCCGAAACACAACCGTGTACGCTTACAAAAATAAAATACAGCTATCGCGGCCAGTATTTGCTCGCAATATAAACGAGCGCTAAAGCTTTATCCTAGCTTTATGATGAGCAATGCTATTCAATGTCGCCTTGAAAAATTGTTACTCGAGCGAGCTTATACGACGTTCATCGTTTAAGCCTGATATTTTTGTTATTTTCAAAAAAAAAAAAAAAAAAAAAAAATATCTATAATTTTCGATTTTAACAATATAAGAAAATATATTAACGAATAACAAACTAATAATAACTTTAATTTATATCATATTCGGTCAATAATCTAACTAATAACTTTAGTTATTACTAATATCAAACTAATAACTTTAATTTATATCATATTCGGTCAATAATTCGGACAAATGTTTTTCCAGATTATAATTAATTTATTTGAATTATAATATACGGGAATAAACGTAATGTCAATAAAATCATTTTACGTATATACATATATACATTATATAAAATGTTACTTGGTAAAAAGACGAGAACGAAAAACGACGTTACAGTGATGTGAGTCAAATTTACGAAAAAGCCAAGTAGATTTTCTTCTCGAAGAGAAAGAAAATGGATAAAGTACGTGAAAGAGAAGCTAACCTCGAAGGTGATCCTTCGCGGTCGATATCTCGATGCCGACGTCGGTTGCCCCCGTCGGTCTTTCCGTAAATCTACGATTCACTTCTCTCTGTTTGCTTCCCTCTCATTTCTTCTCTTTCCCTCTTTCCTTTTCTCTTACTCTTCTTGCCCTCCTCGGGGCAAAGTACCGAGGTTTATACGATAGCAATGGCTAGATCGGTATCTCGCTCGAGAGTTTGAGTGCAGTCAATTAGAGATTCTCTTTCGAGTAGGTAGATGGACAGATGAAAGGAATAAATTATTTTTCCTACTAGGATATATCTTTTGCAATGAACTAGAAGCGAGAAAGATAAAAGAGAAGAGAGCATCGTCAAGTCCGTGAGAGAGTTCGATTTCGCGAGGACAGGTTACGATATATATATATATATATATATATATGTATATACAATATATATTACGAATCTCTTTGAGAAAACTCTTTAGAATCCATAAAATTTTATTTATTCGAGTCAATTATCGGTGAAGTAGCGAAATAAACCATGTTCTTATTAAATAGACAAATTTTTACGATATTTTTATACAAGAGTAGGTATAATAGTTAAGGTATGAAAATGAAAAATAAGGAAACATTTAACACGACATAAGAGAATATCCTTCGGGAGAAAAGATAACGTTAGGAAATAGGATGAGAGTATGTAAAACATAAGAGCACTTCTAAATCAGGAAAACCTAAGGTATCGTTCATGGCGTTCACCTGTGGTAATGGCCGCATAAAGTGTCCGGAGTTATTCAGCCATGCTAAGCTACCTTGAAAGATGCACGCGCTTATAAGAGCTCTACGTCTTTACATTCTTCCAAACTCGCTTCCTATAACTTCAATAAGGCAATTCGTATCTCGCTCGTGTAAAATCCGACAGATACAAATCAGTTGGGCGTGGTCCATTGTTCTTACCAACTGATCTGATCCATTATCGCGAGAACTCATTAACGATAACTTATTTTTCTTATTAATCATCTTATCTACCTACCGAAATTATATCGAGTGTGAAAAATAAAACGAATCGGAAAGTGGTAAAAATTGAGAAAAAAAAAAAAAAAAAAAAAAAAAAAATTAAAACAAATGTCAAGATTTACTTACTTAGAATTTTAGCTTATTCGATAGGTCAACGATCAAATAACAAGCGTAAACGTATAGCGAGAAGCATCAAAGTTAGTCCACTTGCTTAAGTCTCGAGCGCATCCTCCTATTTCCTACTTCCTTCGATCATAGTCGTGAATGGTCCTATTCCAACGGTTCGTACTCGACCAAACAACACGTTCGTCAGACGAATGTTTGATATAAACTCTTCACTTCAACGAAGTTTGTCTGGACATCCCCGAGCAACTCGGTCGAGGGCACTCGGACCATCCCATGTGTAAATGTTGCTTGGATCTTTCGGAAACAGTATGGCAAGTTGTTCTAATAAACTTCTCCCATCCGTTAGACATACCTTCGAAAGAAAACATTCGCGATTAAGGAGAAAAGAAAGGTTTGTTCGTTCGTTCGTTCGTTCGTTCATTCGTTCGAATTGTAGAGGTCTTTTGAAAAAGTAAATTATTTATCGAGCATCGATATCGATCGATCGCTCGAACGAGACACAAACAACGTCGAAACCCGTATACTTTACTACTTCGCTCACGACGAATTATGGAATGTACTCTACAAACGAATGAACGCGATCGTTCATCGGTCTACAAGATCGGTAGAGAAACAAAGAAATAATTAGTGAGATCGTTAGGCTTCATTATTTTCTGTAATTTCACTTATCGACTCGACGATCCAAGGCGGATGCCAAGACGGAGCCGAGGGTAAGACTTCGCATCGCACGAATTAACCATTATAAGCGGCGCGAGAAAGAGAAGGTTAAAGAGAACGAGAGAGAAAGACAGAAATAGAGGGAGGGAGGGAGAGAGAGAGAGAGAGAGAGAGAGAGAGAGAGACAGAGAAAGAGATGGAGAGAACGCGCAAAGCGGGATATCGGATCATTTGTAAAGCGGCAACGCCCGATAAATCTCCATCCTTTCATTACTATAAATTCCCAAGTGTTGAGCATTTTTGCTCCTCCACACTCGACCGGTTGGACGGCCAGCGATAAATGTTATATAGGTATATAAAATTCAGACTGTGCATCCGCACGGCTATGTTGTATATAATCACAATTAGCGTCCTATTAGGCACCGAATGTGCCTTCTTATTTATGCCCTGCATTAACATACCTTTATATAACCTCTGTGTAAACTTATATCATTTCCATCATTCCTCTTTCCTCTCTTTTTCTCTCTCTCTCTCTCTCTCTCTCTCTCTCTCTCTCTCTCTCTGTCTCTCTATATCTTCGTCTCTTTCATCCTCGTCCTACGTCCTTCTGACCCGAAACAACGTCATCCTCGATTGCAACCCGCTGTTCCTTCTTTCGACCCTTTACGTTCGTCCCGCTCGAAAAATTATGATTATATTCCTTCGGATTTCCTTTTCCTTTTTTCCGTATCACTTTAAAGAACCGTTGGACGCGCGCAAATCTTCTCCCACTTCTTTCATTATTAACTTTTCTCGACAGATTCGACGAACTTAACAAATAGATATTTTAAAATCATTAAAATTGTCAATATTCTATCGAAATTGTAATAAAAATTATTAATTGAATAATATTAAAAAGTAATAAAATTTTTATTACAATTTTATGATCTCAACATCGAGATATTTTTCCATTGTCGAGATAGTAAATTTATTATGGAACTCCACTTCTTTCTATAAAGTTTACGAACATACGAAGAACGAAAGAGGGAGATAGATACAGAGTATCTGTAATGTCGGCTTTCATCGATGCAATAAATATAGGATTATGTCCCGTTATTTACAGGCGCTTTGCGCCATTATTCGATAGTACGTTCACTGTATCTACGATATATCCGCCACGAATTCGGCCCGACTAGGCGGCTTGATGTAAATATTCCGATCGTAATTGAATTTATGCAATATCTTTCGTTGATGTCGATATAGTTATAGGATGTAAAATAATATGTGAATATAACTCGACGAAAAAAAAAAAAAAATATATATATATATAATTTCGTAGAAATGTATTCTGTGTCGTTGTTAACTATTCATGAATTTTCATAATAGTTTTTAATAAAATTTCACTTTATTAAAAAATAATAAGTCAAAAAGAAAAATTCCAACGATAAGACGAACTTGAATTTAGCCCTAGAGTTATACCCATAATTTAAAATACAATCTCTACAGAGATGTATACGTAGAATATAATATATCAAGTTGGAATGCTACGAATTAATAGTAAAAGCAAAATCAAGAAACTCGTCGGAGTTCGTGAGAAGAGAGAGAGAGAGAGAGAAAGAGAATGAAAGAGAGAAAGAGAGAGAGAGAGAGATTCTCTCTGCATTTTGTTCTTTCTCGACGAGGTAGAAAAGCGTTTGAGAGGCTCGATTTATCCTCCTCTCTATCTCATACTATTAGATTACTATTCGATAAGCCTGAAGATATCAAAGAACGTGCAACAATAAAACTTAGTCGGATTTTTGAAAGTGCCTTGGAAAAAGTTCAAACGAAGACAAAGAAATTCGTTCATTGTGATCACGTAAGACGTTTCGATTTCGATCGGATCAGAAATCCCTTTGAAAGAAATCATTTATTTGATCGTACTCGTATAACATTTATGTATTAGTATACGTGTTACGTGTGAATGTATATCTTTACGTCAAGGAAGAAGGACTCGGGAAGAGAAGACGTTGGCGATGGTGAAGAAAGAAGAGAAGGTGGAGTATAAGGAATAATGAAAATCATTCGAGTGGCCTTCATCGTGTGCGCAAGGGTACACGTAAGAAGAAAGCATTCGCCGAGCGGAATCTTGGGGCTTGGCAAGCGGTCCGAGGTCAGGGCCTCGCTCGTGGTGTATCGTGAGGACCTCAGCAGGGTGTCCCGATGCTTTTCTCTGTATTAATAACATGGCCCAGCCACCGCCAGCTATAGATTAAAGAAAATAATCATCATAATCGTGCGTAATACGTTCGCGATTTCACGTACTACATTCGTCTCGCCCCAAGAGAGGAAACAAACGATCCACGAAGAAGAGAAGCAAGCTGAGAAAGCATTATTGAAACATCGTAATAGCAAATAGCCGTACGGCTAGAGAAAGAAAAAATTCTTCTGATAATCGATAAAACCATTTACGATATTTATATCCTAACTCTTCAAATGCATAATTCTATTTTTATTTATTAATTAATATATATATATATATATATACATCTATATTATACGAAGTAATATTATTAATCAAATTAACTAAACTAATTTATTACTTAATATTATTAAATAATTGAAAGGCATTAATTAATGTTAAAGAAATTTAATAGAAAAATTAAATTGTTGTATATATGTTCCATTGCATATTAAAAATATTATACAATATGTTCTAATCCTGAAATAACACGCATAAGTTTAAAAATATAATTTTATATTTTACGAAAATGAAAAACTTTCTTAAAACTTTTTTGCAATGTTTTTTCATGTTCCTTCGCAAATGTGTATTAATTTTCATAAATTAACTAATTGAATAATATTATAAGAAATATATTATCTTCTAAGAAATGTATTCTTTAAATAGACTTTAAATATTCTTTAATAGACTTTTTCGTAATACTTCGTTCTATTAATTAAACGTGCCGATCGTGGGAATAATGAAAGTCATGGAATTTTCAAAAATGATCGATTGCAAACGCGAAATATCCAATTTATCGTCCTTTATTCTTCCGCCGAAATTTGAATCTCGTGAACGTAAATTATTTTTTTTTTCTCTCGTGAAATTCGAGACAAGTCGGTAGAGGCCGCGAATCACGGACTATCGAATAACCGCAGAAATCGCGAACACCGCTGGCAGGATTTGTCTGGATTCTCTGGGGTAATTTTACCATTACGATGGATGAATGTAACAAGTAATTTGGCTGCCGCTCGGAAATCGCTGTAACATGATTATCCCATCGAACATGGATACTCACGAGCACGTTGTAGCTAAAATTTAACGAACAAGAATTGAAATAACCATACATTTTTAATAAAAGTCCTAATACAATCTATATTTGTGTATAATGAAAGTGTCATATAATCTATTTCCATTATTATTATTTATGAATTAATTATTCAAAAAAATCAATGATAAATTACAAACATAACTTCACTAGTATCAGAATATTATTAAAGTTTATATTCAAATTTGATCATTAAATTGATCTTCAAAAGAGACAAAATTACGCGATTATAATATCCATCTATATTTTAAGATCACATTATATGTATATATATATATATTTTTTTTTCTCAAATATAGGTATATGTGAATATCTATATGCCTCTGTCCTTTAATATCTCTCCGCTTTCAATAGAACACGTTTTATACGGGATAAGTTCAGACACGTAGTTTGTTAAAAGCACAGAAGCCAGTATACCTGAATATCGCTAACAGGACGCGTACATGCAAATCATGCGCGGAATTAATTTTTCGCATGCTGCGCTCCACGAAGAAGAAGACGAAGAAGAAGAAGAAGAAGGAGTAAGAGGAAGAGGCAGAAAAATAGAAGAACGAGGATCAGGAGATGAAGGGGAGAAGGAGGAGGAAGAAGAGGAGGAGTTCTTACTCCTGAGGAACGGAAGAAGGGATGGAGGAAGAAGGGGGTGAAGATGTCTTCGGCACGAGATGGGGAGACGTTCACGCGCGCACACGCGGAAACGCGCACACTGCGAAATGCTCGGGCAAACCAACGACCACGACTATGCGCACGATTGATTACCGACGTGATCGTCATACCGTACTGAATCCGCGACATTCTCACCGACCTTGGTCAAGGCTCGAGTCGCGTGCTCGAGAGCCATCCTCCAACCGCGTCGACTAATCTCCGGGATTCCGCGAGCTTGGATCGCCCTGCGGCTCTCTCTCTCTCTCTCTCTCTCTCTCTCTCTCTCTCTCTGTCTCTCTCTGTCTCTCTCTCATCCTTCACTATCTCCGATCCCCTAGATTGCTTCATATCCGCAAGGCAAATCATGCGAACACACTAATTAAATTGACATCTGTTGTCTTAAAAAATTAATATCACAATGATTGGCTTCACGATGTGATTTTGATTCTTTTCAACATGATTAGCGAATTATAATAACGATCGAATGTTCTTTTTGTGATTGAATAACATGAATAAAGTGTCACGGAATTACCAATAGATTCATCATTAATATCGACGAATAATAAATTGAAATTAATTTCAAAGTGCTCCGACATAGTATATAGTGATATAGGAGTCGATAATAAGAAACACGTTTCGCGGTGCCTCTTGGTAAGGCGTCGAACGTGCACGTTGGAAATCTACGAAGGGATCGGTATCCAATAATATCGATCCTATCTTTACGCGTCTCACCCTCCCACCTCGTCTCTCATACGTGCGGAGA